AAAAATACTGGAAAAGAGTGCATGTTATGTTACAACAAATTCTGCTTTGTCAAGTACCACTAACCCCAGAATTGTTTCTATTAAGCATGATACCCGATAACATAGATAGGTCAAAGGAACATATAGTTATATATATTATTACAGCAGCCAGAATTATGTATGCTAGAAATTGGAAAAGTACGGCGGTGCCGGAACAAGAAGATCTGATGGAAAAGATATGGGAAATAGCCGAAATGGACATCTTATCGGAAGTTATGAAGGACCAATCCTTGCAAAGGGCAACAGAAAGATGGGACTTATTTTATAAATGGACTGAATTAACAGGTAGTAGCTGAATATATATAGTGAAATGTGAATCTTATACATAAGGCAGAAAAGAGTAAATAGAATGATTTTGGATTTGATATGGCAATAGGTATAGATTGGATATTAGTATGCTATGATTTCCCCTCTCCCTCACAAATCCCCTTCCCTCACAAACCCTAACCCCCATGTCCCTATGTCACCCTTTATGTAAAAAATAAAATAAAATAAAAAAAAAAGGATTCGAAGTCCCAGTCACTGGCTTCCAAGTCAAGTGCTCCAACACACTAAGATCAATTTAATTAGGGCAGCTCTCTGTGTGTGTCTGTGTCTGTGTCTGTGTCTCTCTCTTCAACTGACGTGGTGATGTAAACAATGGCCGAACCTTGCTTGAGACCATGTTAGCAGAAACCTTTTGGAAAAACCACCCCTTTTATTGTTGTTTGTTATTATTACAGCTTATGGAATCCCAAAGTCAGAGTGCTGGCTATGTTGTCTGATGAATTCTGGCAACTGTAGATTTAAAAATTAGTAGCTTGCTAAGGTCTGAAGAGAATATTGACAACTCCTACTTTGTGCTTTTCAAAAGCTTCCAAAGAATATGAATGAGCGGCTAACTCTTATTTCCACCAGAGGGCATCCCTCTGTCCTCATGGACCCACATCAAGCCTCCTTTTGCAGCCTCTGATTTTATTTCATCTCTAGGCAGCTGTGCAAAAGCATCTCTGTGTGGCATAGGCAGGCAGCAGCTGCCAGGCAGGTACCAGGCTTGGCTGTGTGCTGCTCTGCGTGTCTTTGATTTAACCTCCTGCCACCCACATGTCATCATTTCTCTTTCAAAGGATGGGTTCTGGCTTCCCAGCAACCTGCGTTCTCTAGAAATACTCTTCTTTGGGGAATCCTGACGATTTACAAAACAAAAAGAAAAGAAAACAGAGTGGAGGAACGGATTTAAAAACTAAAGCAAGGGGGTAAGGATGGAAAAGGAGATCAAAGCATCCACCCAATACGGATCTGTGGAATCAACCAAGTGGAGAGCAGCAGATATGGAAAAAGGTGAGCCTATTTACTTTGCATACCCAGAAATCAGCAGGAACCTCTCCCCACCTCCATACACATACTACATGCCCTGCACTGGGGAGGACATGCCTCCAGATCTGCTCTCTCTGTGTGTGTG